AGTTTTTATCTTATTCCTACTGAAATTTTATCTTTTAATATAGAGATGAATCTTATACGGAGTCAAGTCAACAAGCAAGCAAAGGGTCAAAGCCATCATCTAATTCTTCATCGGGCTCAAGCCGCAATAGTAGACGCTCATCGACCTCGGTGGCTAATAATAACGAAAATACTTTAAATATAGTGCCTTCTATTTATGAGGAATTAACATTTGTTAATTTGAGTGCAGAAAATTTTAATTTTGATAATAATTATTTCAGTAGAAGTAATGGAATACGTCCTGATGGTAAATTTCTTTGTAAGGACATAGTTCACCAATTTGGAATGGAAGTAGGTGTACTTGAAGTCAGTAAATCCAACTCATCTTCTGATAAGAAAGAAAGGGATAGAGTAAAGCTTATATTAGCAATGTTGATGTCAGGGGCTTATGTTCGTCATAATTTTGATAATCAATACATGACACAATTAATTCAAACATTACTTGAAAAAATCGGGTATATTACTTTACAAGTATATAATGAGAGATTAATTGTACATAGATATGATTTCACCCATAGTCCCATAAAGGAAAGGCAAACACTAATTGATGTCTTGATTCCAATTCGGCCAACAGTTAATGTTGGTTTGACAATGCTTTGGGACATAGAATCGGTAATCAGCTTTGTGAAAGAAATTACAAAATTAAGGGAATTTTTAAGGAGAATTGACACAAGTTTCGGAATATTGATCAATCAGCTCAGTAATAGAGCACCGCATGAAACATTAATTGGAAAGAAAAAATTTTACCAAAAATTTATTCATCTGAATCTATGTGATATATTGTCACGATGGGTAGCAATTTCGAAATTTTATTAAATAAAATTTTGTATGTTTGCAAACATAAAAATTTATTACGAACGTGCAAAAGAATGATTATTACATAAGACAGTTTTCGTTTCTAAGCTAACACTTATATCCTAAAATACAACTGACATTCTTCATTATAACAAAAATTTTTGTTATTCCATATTTTTAA